CAATATTGTCACGCTATAACTTAAACACACACTGTAATTCACAACGAACGATTCACGCGCTTGACTCAATTGTCCGTCTCTATCTCTGTCTGCAATTCAATTCCATTCTTGTCGTCACTTCTTACCGGTCTTATTATACAAGAATACCGCACATCTAGTAGACACTCTAGGCTTCACGAACGGACATGAATTTTCAAGAAGCTCATGACGTGTTACTAGCGTCACATGACTTCCGTTGTCGTAACAATATATTAATCAGTCGACGGAGGAAGTCTCGTTTTATTCTTAAAATTCCCTTATAAAAGAAGAAACGTTCTTGTTCTTAATAAGATTTTTCCTCAGATTGGCCGTTCAGCACATACTAAGACTGACGGTTCGATGTTTGATGTCGATATGAAATTTTAGGAATTGCCAAAAATAATTAATCCTGTAATGTACTCTTTAAAATAAACATTTTGATATACAACTATTTTTCTACGCTTAACCGTTCAGGAGATACAAGTAGTGACAGACAGACATTTGGCTATAATATGTATAGATAATGACCAATTCCTCTTAGCTGCCTCTGATGGGACAGCGTTAAGTTGGCGGATTTAGAACGCTAAAATCCAGGGTTCGATTCCTGCAGTGGACACAGCAGCTAGCCCAATGTGGTTTTGTTCTAAAAACAAACAAATAAAATCCTCGTATGTTTTCTTCGAGTTATAGTCTTTTTCTTTTCATGTACTTCTTAAACCACTTTTGGTTTTTAATGTTGTTGTTGATTTTTAGCGCAAAGCTGCACAATGGCCTATCTATGGTCTGTCTACCACAGGGAATCGAACCCCTGGATAAGTCTAGAGGCTTACTTTTAACCCACCGGTGTCTTGGCTTTCGCACAATTACATCTACTACAAAAAGAAAAGCGTTTTAGGCTGGAACTTCAATTAATCCTTTCTGGAAGAAAAAAAAAAGAGTATTAACCAGAACATTATGAATAGATAATATATATACAAATATTTCATTATAAAGTAATACTAACCGTTATGATTATGACAGTGCATCAAAACACTTGTAATCACTTGTTACACTGAACCAGACAACAAAACTTTGGCGTTTACATTATTTTCCATTCAAAGATAATCTATGACAAGCAAGAAAATCGAACTTTTAGAATTCAGTTGACCTTTATGTTTAAGTCATGAACCTGGGCTTAATAATTTAGTTCGTTTTATCGTAGTAGAATACCGGTAAGGTACCCAAAATGATAATTTTGGTGGGATTTCTTTTATTTTCCTTCTTTTCTGAGTTTGAATGTTCTCGCCCTAATATCCTTATCATGCTCATGGACGATGTAAGTATACTAATTATTTTCACAGTATAAATTATTTTAAAAGTACAACTACGTAATGTAAGTTGTGTAGAACTAGAACGCAGACTACCACAAATTACACTGTTAGTGTTGTTAACGCTAATGTATTGAAATTAAATTTCTTTATAGCTAAAAGCAAAACTTATTCCATTCTTGTGATAAATTTTCATTTATTTTTTTCTCTCTTCTCTTTGCTACTGTTAAAAAAATTAATATAAATCATGAATTTTCTCGTTTTCACTAATAGTAATAATATGTGCACTTTTTGTTATATCAAATCATACAACTTACAAATAGTAAATACGCTATAGTTTTGTTAGCTCCAGTGCCTTGAAGATTGAAATCAAGATCTGCAAATGTTATGTAATTTGTATTGAAGATTTTATGCAGTGAATAACAATTTTAACATAGTATGTACATACACACATGAACTGATAAAGTGTGATTGCAAGGTGAGCATGGTCATGGTGTTTGTTTGCAAACTTCAATTTCAAGATAGTTTTCATTTGGCTTATCTTTATTTTTAAGTGATAATAATGTAAGTGGATGTCATGTTGAAGTCTTGAATGTAACTTTAGTTGTACTCAAGTTGTAGGGCTTTCAGTTTTACACAGTCCTGAATAGAACTTGGCCCTTTTATTGGATTTTCTTTGGGGTTGTAGGGTTACTTAAGTTATAACATATTAAAATATTAAGGTAAATTATGTGATTGAGAAATTAAGTGGTCTGATAAAAAAAAAAGAAAAAAAAAAGGAAACTAATCTCTAAACTTAGCCGTAATCTCTTGGCTATTCATGAACCCTTCTCTTAAACTCCTATAAAGTTACTTATGCGTACATACACGTGAGTTAACAACAACAAGGGACCGTCCCATCTACTAAACTAAACTTCAAAATAAAAATAAAATACTCAAAACCAGCATTTATCATTCAAGTATTTATTAAGCTTTCCCCTAAACTCCCTTAATTAACTGCATCCACCACATTTGAAGGCAACTCATTCCAAAAGCCATTCTCCTTTTCTTTTGCCAGTTGTTCTTAAGGACCTTTTGTAAGTCTTCCAAATCCTGGTAGGAACTTAGATGAAAGTAGTTTGATGTTCAGCTTTTATGGTCAAACTATTAAACGTCTGGGGTGCTTGACGATATTCCATCTTCCTTTGTCCTGCACTAGTTAAGGTGATTACTTTAGAGGGTTGAATTAATTATGCATCTTTAATTTAGCAAATGTTACATAGGGTTGTTATTAATTTTAACATGATATAGAGGAATTATAAGTGAAGGTATGGCCATTTCTATGCATGGACCAGAGAGGGAGAAAAGTCAACACCAATAAATGAATGGAAAACAAGCCTTTACAGGGCCTGGTGGGATCTATAAATCCTAATTTCTAAGTCTTTCTAATCAGTCAACTTCTTCATCAAGTTCCTCTTCCAGACTGTAATTAATTCTTAGATCTCTTACATGTCCTTCATTCAAACTTTTGGCTATCTGTTCCCTGTACCATCTTCATTCTTAAGGCATATTTTCTTCTTGCTAGTGGGAGATGCTGTTCTGATATGTTTGACTTGGATGCATCCTGCACTCTTAACCACAGGAACAGGATGATTTTATCCCTAGATCTCTCCTCAAGACTTAGGCTGTTTGGAAGGGTAATAAGATGATTTTTTTCTCATTCTAATATGTACAAGTTTTCAGACCCTGATCATCTCCTTTGGCCTTTTTTGGGAAGTTTGCTATTATTTCACTCATGTAGCTTCCTTCTGAGGCAATCAAATTTTTTTTTATTTATTTTTTGCTGTGTGATTACTCCTCTTATCATGATTTATTTCTTCCGACTCTGACTGACTGAATTAAACAAATCATCCGACTTGTCTATTCCTTTATGAGAGATACTATTTTCATCTTTTTTATTTATGTAACCTCCCATCATTTTTGTCATCTCATAGCCCTTCTAGCTGTCAACATCCCCTGAATGAGATATTGCAAGCAGGGATGGTTGACCCCACCAACACTTGTGTGTCACATTAAACCATATTGCATTTGCTACCACCTATGAATTTCATCTCCCTCCAGGCATCATTCTCTAGTATTCCCAGAGGCTTTAAAGAAGTGAATGGTTGATTATTGCTGCACATGGAGGATGTGTCCCACTCCTATTGGTAGAAGGATATAGTCCAATGCTGGTTGTATCATAAACTGCTGCAGTACACACACACATGGGGTTTTGTTCAAAGGCTTGGCATGTGTAACAAAATGTTTTAGCAGGCTGCAAAGTATTAAGTATTTGTTCTTTGGAAAGGTGAGAATCTATCTGAAATACAATTTCAGTTAAGGAAAATGTGAACTTTGTAGTTATTGAAGAATAGGATGAAATCTGATTTATTTAAAACAATAAAAACCAGAATTAGATGTACAAGTATGATTATAGTAAAGTTATTATGATTGTATGGCAGTGTTTAATAGTTTAAACAATTATATGCTTTATATATTTTTTGTTACAGATGGGTTGGGGTGATCTGGGTGTTTTTGGCCACCCAAGCAAAGAGACCCCTCGCTTGGATCAAATGGCTTCTGAAGGAATGTTGTTTCCAGATTTTTATACTGCAAACCCATTATGCTCACCATGTGAGTGTTAAAAAGTTTTCAATTCTGTCGTCATGTTTTTTCCATATGGTGGGCGAAAGACTGGAATATTTTGGAGATCTTAAAATAATGTAACATTTTAATTTTTTCTTTGTTTTCATTTCTTTATTTAGACCACAGTAACAACAACAGCAAGACATCTAAATACAGATAAATTTAAACGTAATGTGTATTTGTTATTGATTTCTTTAATGAATAGAGAATTTACCATTGTACATTTTAACAGTAATAGGCCTATATTGTAAGTTGCTATATAGCAGTTGAAGGTATTTACACTACGTTGGTAGAGCTGCACAGTTATTTTATTTGCTAACCATTTAATTGTTGGGCTCATTAATCAATTACATTCAATTAATTTATTATTCTCACATGAGACCTAGATAGTTGGAATAATCAAAAATAGTAATAATTGGAAACAAATGGTTAGTTTAGTTTTGTGAGTCTTGACACTGATCAGTTAAGCTGAACAACCTTGAGAAATCATAATGACAATATTTTGATCTTTGGATAGTTGTAATAACCAGAAAAACTAATCTGGATTAGTTGATTACTTCTGTGCCATTTGTCAGTTTAATTCATTATTTTACATGACACTAAATCCACTATCAATTGAGTTAATCACCCAGCTTTATAAGTTGGTCCTTGATTTTGATTGCATTCACTTTATAACAGTTAAAGGTAGTTGCATTTTGTTGGTCCAGGGATTTGATTATGTTGTTTATGTTAACTAAGTTGTATGTTTGTTTTTATATTACCTTCCTTTCATAGAATATGATTTTAAAAAATCAGATTTATTATGAACAACAACTTCTGAAGCAGGAGATGAGTAATAAAAGTACCATTCTGGTATTGAATTTTGAACTTGCATCTCACCTTTTGTGAAAAACAACAACAAAGATTAGAGAAAATGTACCAAGAAAAGTACTTTATCAGCTTCTTAATCAAAGCACTTTATTTAATCTTTGTTAACAAATCAGACCAACATAATCTAAAATATGTTTTTGTTTAGGGAGTTGAAAGGCACCCATTACTTGTTGTCTAATCATAATAAAATAAGAACATCAATTTAAGTAATGGAAGTTAGTTTTCTTGTGGAATTAAATCGAATAATAGAAAATGGATTTAAATTTTTCAGCAATTTTTATTTTGTGCGTGTAGCTAGAGCAGCTCTCTTAACTGGAAGACTACCACTTAGGAATGGTTTCTATACAACAAATGCACATGCAAGAAATGGTAAGTTTTAGTATGGAAATCAACCACATTTCTTAAACTTTTTATATTACCATATCTACCATCATAAAGCATATGTTACATTATAAAACAAAGGAACATAATAACCCCTATCTTAAAATGTATTATAATAATTATTATCAAAAAACTTGTGAACATTCATTGATTTAAATTATGAAAATTATGTGGTACATACTTGAGTGTTGTGTAACACAGTATCAAAAAATTGAGTATCTTATGATAGTATATAAGACTGATCCCTTGATAGGAGGACTGTGTGCCACATCATGCCCTTGAAAGCCTGTTTTGTAGCCCATACTATATAAAAGTAAGCAAAACTATATTTGAGAAAGAATATATTCTCCAATGGGTTCAGACATAGTTCTTGACTTTATGATCATCATATGAAGTGACTCAGCGTATAAAATAAATTAATACTAGTAATATTTTCTCTTTGTACATTTCAGTTTTTTTATGATACATTAACCTTTGATTGCATAGATTTGTATGTGTGTGTGTGAATAGTTCCATTTTACTTTTTTCCTAATATGTTCAGGAAAAGGGATCTGTTACTGTATCAGTTATTTTTCATGGGTAAAGTACAGGATAATGTTTATATTTCTATAACTATACTTGACTGAATGCTTTTAATTTTTTTGTTTTATAATATGTTTATTAAAAATGGTACTTAGCAAAGAGATTTATTGATTGTCTTGTAAAATATTTTTGAAAAAAAACAGGGTAGGATTTAGACTTTAGTGTCAGTTGATCATTAAAAGGTTTTTCTTGGAGTTGAATGTCTTTGATATGAAAGTTTAATAGTTGTCACTTTTCTCACTAGAATAGATATTTTAAAACAAATGATATACATTCTTAACTTATTTATTTACTTTCTTATTTATCTGTGTATGAAATGTACTAAAGGATTTCTTTTTAATATAAGGAAATAAAAGAACCAAAAAACAGGAGATTATTATAGCTCTGGCTCAAGAACAATACAATCATGCTATCTTTTCTAAATATAGATATGTTTGTGGTATTGCTATGGTTATATATATATATATATATCACTTGGTTAAAATTGTGATGTATGTTGAAGTGGAATATAAATGTGTGAAACTGTATGAAAGCATATATTATCTTTAAAATGCTTTTATATTGTGTATGAGAATGTTAGGTTTTTTTCTTTACATGTAATGTAAAACATATTAACATAAGTTATATGAACTGTTTCTGTGATTCAGTCATGTCCTTTGAATGAAGCACAGACTACCTAAAGCAGTTTTCCCTAGGATAAGATACTTATATCCATGTAGTGTTCATGGTTCTGTAGTATGAATTAATGAATATTAAATTAATCACAGAGATGACAGAAAAATGTTTTGTGAGTGTATGGTGAAGAATGCTCGTAATTGTCTTTTCTGTAACACCTAAACAGGTGCCAAACATGTATTTGAAGCAACTACCTGTGATTTAATTTCATAATTAGATTTTATATAATTATATTTGTTTTTGTTTTTTATATGTATATATGTTTTAAAAATTAGTTGAATATGTTGTTTGTCTCCTAGCATTATAACATCGCTTTCATCCCAAATAGTTTTCCAGAAGTATTGATTTTAACTTTTAACTGTCGATAATTATGAAATATTTTCAATAAAAATTAAGAAGAGTAACTTGTAGAAATATTTCATTGATTGTAAACTATGTTTCATAGAAATGACAGCATGTATGAGAATGAACAATATGTCAAAAAGCCATTTGACTGATAGGGATCATTTTGGAATGAAAAACAAAATATAAAAGATTCTTATAAGTTTAATAATCAAAGTAAAAGTCATGCTAGTCTGCAATTTTTTTATTTTTCTTTTAATTTCTGCAGTATTGATTTGAACTTAGATATTTGAAGAATAGCATTTCAGATTCATATCCAGCTATACTTATGTGTTCTGATATTGATAAAGGGCCTCCTGGGCTGTAACTTTTGGCAGCTAGACAGAACTTTCATATTTTTTAATCATTTAAGTAATTTTTTAACCTATCCATTAAATCATATTGATAACTTTTCTTTAGTAAGAAGACCACATGTGAAGTTCATGAACACAATACTGAGTGTGAGGTCTAACAACAGTCTTATAAAATAAAGTAATAGTAGCTTTATGCTTATAAATATTAACATTTTTGTATATAGAAGTTAATGTCTTGTTAGCTCTAGTTACTACAGTATACAGATACTGTACCAAAGATCTGTCTTTTCATAATAAGCACACCCATTTTTTTTTAATTCTTTACAGTACCAACTTTCTTCTCACTTGGCAATTATTTGTCTTTACCCTGCTCTATATTGAAATACAATTTCAAGTACTCAGTCATCTACTAATCTTGCATGTTCTTTCTAAATCAAAACAGCTCACTAATCCTCTCAAAATACTTTTGAATTTAAACAGCTTGCTAATCCTCAAGATCCTTCTGAAATATCTCACTATTTTCTTAAGATCCTTCTGAATTAAAACAGCTCAATAATCCTCAAAATCCTTCTGAATCAAAACAGCTCACTGATCCTCAAGCTCCTTCTAAAACAGCTTACTATTTTCTCGTGATCCTTTTGAAATAAAATAGCTCACTAATCCCCAAGTTCCTTCTGAAACAGTGTATTAATCCTCTCAAGATCCACCTGAATTAAAACAGCTCACTAATCTTATTGAGATTCTTACGAATCCAAAACATTCTTTTTATTATCTCTTTTCCAAACTATTTTTAGTCATCAGGAAAATAAACTAACTTACATCCTATTTTGCTACCTATATCTTATGTATAACTAATGAATGGCAGTTTCCCAAAAGATCTTCAGAAATCCACTAGTCACATTTATCGAATTATAAAACTACCAGTTTATAACCACCATCTACTTTCTTTATTGTAATCTCTTCATGTATCCCATGATGATAATATTTTATTAAACAATACTTTCAAAAGATTTCTGTAAGTCATTATTAAACAATGTCTAAAGAAATGCCCTTAATGAAAAAACAGCAAAAACATATCAAAACCTTTTTAGAAAGTTGATTAGGTATGAAAAAAAACTTCCTATACCAGTGTACGAGTGCTTATGACAAAATTCGATATAATTTTTGCCACTTGATACTAACACTGATAAAACTGATACGTCTGTACTTTCATGTTGTTGTTTTTTTTAACATTTTTTTTTGTTGACAGAAACCTTGATATTAATCTTAGAATTTTAGTAGTTTGACTCTTTTTCTATCACTAATAGCTACTCCATCACTTATACAGCATTCTCATCTAGTTTAATAAAATAAAAGATATGTTGTTGGCTCATAAATGTATTGCAAAAGAACATGTAAGAAATCTCTTTATTCCTCTTCAACCATAGAGTATTCTACCACAAGCTTATCCTCCATAAAATTATTCCAGTTGGTATCTATGAAATGCTCAGTATTTCCCTCATCTTTCTTTCTACCTTTTGGGCTGAGGGTGGCCCAGTAGTTAGCATACCAGACTGTAAATCTGAGGTTTCATAGTTCATGTTCCATTACCACTAAAACAAATAATACAAATATTACACTTTAGGGCCATGAGTGCATTGTGAAAGTGGCAGTAAAATCTCCATATTTGGTTTGACAAGAGTAACCAAAGAATTGGAGATAGGTGGGGTTGACTAGGTGCCTTTCATCTAGTCTGTTGCTTCTAACTTAGGAAAGGCTAGAACAGCTAGCCCTTGTGGAGCTTTAATTAAACAAATCTTCTGCCATAATGTAAGTATTTTTTATCTATTCCACCTCTTCTTGGCAGTAATTAAGGTTTAAAATGAAACAAGCCCCGAAGGGGCTTGTTTGACAACCGGGGGTGCTCAGAAATGTGCAAAATTAAGGTTTAGTCCTATTAGGGAATGAAGGATATTAAGAGCTGCGTGTGATGTATACCAATAGTAAAACTAATGACTGATTATTTGATATCATGCAAGGTGAAAGGAATTAATGAATTATAAATAACTTAGGTGGGTAGAGCAATATATAGCTAAATGGCTGATTCAGCATCTGGGAAAAGCCGTGAATTTAGTGAAACGAATGAAGAGAAGGAGAACTTGTATTTTTTGTATTATATGGTACTATATATCAACTGAAACTTAACTTTATGTTTAGGTTATACACCTCAGGAAATAGTGGGAGGAATCTCAGACAGGGAGCTATTGCTAAGTGAACTTTTAGCTTTAGCTGGATATCGAAATAAAATTGTTGGCAAATGGTACGTATTCATTAAAGATTTTGAAGAATGTTAGGTGACTGAAATGGTGATAGCTTTTTCCACTTGTGGTGGTTTAGAGTGTTCACATCAAATTGTAGTTGATGGATGAAACTTATAATGTTAAAATTAAATTGTTACACACTATCTAAAACTTATTTTAGAAAGTTCCTAGGCCTACAAGTCGGTTGTGTTTGATTGTTTGGTAAGGTTTGTTTTAGTGAATAACGAAAAGTGTTAGTATGTAAGCCTTTGAAGGATGCTTGCCTGTAGTAACGCATTATATGCTTTCACAGGCTAGTTTTTCGTTTGTTTGTTTAGATAAAGCAAAAACATTTTTTGTCACACATGATTACCCTTTTGGTTATTAAATAATATTATGAATGCATTTTTTTTATTTTAACTGTAAAATTCATTGCAGGTTTTAGTCTTTCTTTCACACTAAATATTGTATGAACTATATCTTTGTAATATCTGAAACTTTTCCTTTGTTGTAAGAATATAGAATTTAAAAGTTTCAGTTTCTTTTTTTACATCCTCAGTAGAAAGCTTACTTTGTTTATAAAATATACTGTGTATTGTATTTCTTTGTTCACCACCATTTTGACCTGCAGGCATCTTGGACACCAAGCTCAGTACCTACCATTAAAACATGGGTTTCATGAATGGTTTGGATCATCCAACTGTCACTTTGGCCCTTATAATGACAAATCAACTCCAAATATTCCTGTTTTCAGGAATGATGAAATGATTGGAAGGTATGTAATACTTTATGTGCAATCAAGTGAATAACTTTTATTTAAAAAAAAAATTTACATTTTTAACAAATAAAATATAGTTCTCTCACCATCTGCAAACAGCTTGTATGCTATTAGACATCATTTTAATAGAATAGGTTTGATATGTGCATGTGTAAGTTCAGTGTCTTTTCTTTTGAGTCCTTGTCTTTTAAGTAGCCTTAAAAGTAAAGAAGCAAATTATGAGGAAGTTTCTTTAAAAAAGGATTTTTCTTAACCAGCTTGTATATATACATTTATACTGTTAATGATCTAGTTACAGTAACATAGTAGTAATTCTAAGTGTACGTAAAGTACGTGGTGTACTTGGTGTTAGTAGGTCGGAGTCTAGTAATTAAGTAGGTAAGGGAG